GTAAGGACATGAAAAAACAACCATTCATAAGCATTTTAAAAACTCCAGTTGTCTTGAAAAGAATAATTTGGAAAGATATCTAGATGGATGTCAGGAAGGGGTGGCCAAACTACTTCTCTGAACAGTGCTGGATGGGTACTTCTACAATCAGTTTCTAATGCAAGCCACTGACCTAGGATAAAGAGTACGAGTGTGCAAAAGCAAAATGAACAAATGAAACTAACTTAAAGTCAGGGTAATATATTTCCCGTTACAGGTAAACATTGAAAGCTGAACAAAAACCATGACCCTACGTACTTCAGCTTACCTGAGCTCCGTCATAGCTAAAAATTCCCACCACGCTCACAGGCACGGCTTTGTTCACGCAGCGGCCCAGGGCCTTGCGATTAAGGGCAAAGACAAACGGGATATTCTGTTCACAGGCACAGTCGATAATGTTGTGTAGAGTCTCATCCAACCCACCTGGAGCACACAACAGAATTAGTAACGAGTGATGCTGTTCAAGCTGATAACCACTAAAGGACAGTACTGTTAAAAGGTGGCAAAAAAATACCCCAACATTATGGGTGCATTCTGAAATTATTACAAGGGGTGTTACGAAAGCATACATGGAGCTCAGTAACAGTGTTAGATATCTATTTTTAAAGGAGGATGACATTTTTTCTTCATTTTTAATTAGCAGTATCCTTAGACTGCTACTATTCTGTATTTTGTTCAATGTGTAGTAGTTTCATCTAGTATTAAAGAGACCCAGCTGCTAAGAAATTATTTAAAAGACGGTAGAAAGCAATTAATTGCAACGAGTTTTAAACAAACCATCACCGACAACTTGTCAATCTGTGGCCAAAAAGAGACTGTAAGAGCAGGACTTATGGTGGCACCGCCGGCGTTCGCAGCCTTTGCCTCTTCCCAGCTGTGCCAGTGGCGCACAGCTGCTGTGCAGCTGCCCTGTGCATCGGCAACTAAACGGATCCCGGCTTCAGACAACTTCCCCCACCGCCCCCCAGGCAGCCCGGGCTCGGCTCACGCTGCAGCTGCACAGCAGTAAACAGTCTGAAGAAGGAAAGGCATCTTTGTAGGACGGGATTTCAAAGGCTACTCTCCAAGAAGTTCCTCCAGCAATAACATTGCTGCCACTAGACTGAGTCTGCCTTTTCCCATTTCTTCTATTAACCTTTTTTTTTTTTAAACTTATTCACCCTTTGACTGGATCTTTTCACAGTTAGGAGAGATGATGACACACTTCAGTTTTTTCAGCTTCAGATGTTTCAAGACTTCTCTAAGGCCCATAACAAGCCTGCGTTTGATCTTGGCCTTCACCGGGTCCTTCTGATAGAGGCGATCTTGGAAACGAACCAGCTCCTTCAAAAGATCCGTCACACAACTGTCAACCTCCTTACTAAGCACCTGGCTGCAGTAACTGGGAGAAAGAATCAAAAGCTAAGAATCCTCAAGTGACAAATATGGAACAGATAAACATGTAATAATGTAAAATATGTAAAACAAACAGTTCACCTTCTATTCTACCTCTTTGCCTTTTTTCCTGTTTCCAATCCAAACACACTGGTTACGATACATGAAAACAAAAGTTTACTTAAGGTGTTTTTCAGTGGCTGAGAACTTACAAAAGGTGTTGTTACTTGTGCCACCTGACCCCCCTATCATCTATAACCCCCTGCCCACACACACTTGTACAATAAACCCAAACATATATATAATTTATACCAATAAATACATATGTACATGTTTTTCCACTGAAGCATTTTTTCTGAGGGCTTTTATTTTGGCCTACATAAATCAAAGTCCAGCAACCAAAGTATAAAATCCTACTTTACTCCCATAAATACAAGGCTACTTTAACAACGATGGAAATCTGGATCAAATTGCTCCTCCTCGGGTTCATATCCTTGGTTTGTCATCCTATTTCACTTAGGAGACTACATCCGTGCGGTGTTCCTAAGGAAAGGACCAGAACGCACGTACTTCATCCTTCCAGTATTCCCTGGGAAAGCTCAGGGTTCTGTATTATTTTTACCCCAGCTTTTATATAAAGAATTGTTCAGTAAAGGAAGATCTGAGGGAAAAATGAAAGATACCTCAAGTACACGGCCAACAGAAAGACGCCAAGTGGCAAATTCCCATAGATTATCAGCAGAGGTTGGAAGACCTATCCTGGATCTTAGAGATACAATTACCACAGAATCACAGAATTGTTTAGGTTGGGAAAGACCCTTAAGACCATCAAGTCCAACCACTAGCCTAACACTGCCAAGCCCACCACTGATCTGTCTCCCTGAAGTGCCTCAATCCAACACTGTATTTAAGTTACAAGAGTTTTTATTTACTATTTCCGGTTGATTTCACTAAGCCTCCAAGTCTACTAAAACACTGAAAATCTACTAAGACACAAAATATTCCCACCTTTGCTGAATGCTCTACATCCTAAAATATGCAGGGCTGAGTTGCCCCGTACCAGCTCAATCCAAACTGTGTGTTCAGTAGAACAGCGTTGCATAGACATAAATTAAGTCATCTTTAATGCGATTAAGTTAAATTAGAACTAACACACGGCATTGGGAAGATAAAGAATGGCTATATCAATACTAATGTTTACTGTATCACGAGCTGCAAATAGGCCAGTGCTGCCTTTATGGGAGGAGAACTAGTGAGTTAAAACACTGCCAACCTAAAGTACCTACTTTAAACTGGGTCTCTGACCTCTTCACATACAGCAATGACTTTTGTAAAGAAATGTGTATACACATCTGTTTAAACAAAACTCAAAGTGTTTGCACACAATAACCCATAAATCTTCCCTTCATTCTTCTGCCCAGCCACAACATGAAAACGTCAAACGGCCAGTCACACTCTCTACATTCCTGCCATTTGTTCTGGCAGCAGAAAACCAAAGAACACTCTAAAAATCAGGAGGTGTACTCCTTTTCTTAAATATTAAGCTGGTGGGGCTCCATTCATTTAAAATAAAGTACTTCAGCAGCAGCTCCTTTTCCCTCCCTAGCCTCTAAAGAATTTCTGATCTTATTTTCCCTTCAGGGAACATGCATTTTGAAGTGAGAATTACAACAATGTAATGTAATACAGACTATTTCTCTGGATATCATTTCTTTCTTTGTATTCCCCCTCCAGAAGAGCTGGGGGGGGGGGGGGGGGGGGGAATTTTAGAACCTTCAATCTAAACTGCAATTAATACTGCAGAGAATGCAATTTAAGCATCTTGTTTGAAAACTGCCCTGTCGGTGCTGTGGAAAACCAGCCATCAGTAGAATCAATACTTACTCTCTGAAATTTCTGCTATGGATTTTTGGAAGATTGGAAGTTAGCTGCTTTGAATTCACAGAGCCTCCTGGAGGTTTCTTGATCCCCGTGTTCTCCAGAAAGCCTTCAGCAACTTCTGCTACAGGAACAGCTATCACGTAAGGAAGAGAGATGTCAACAGACCGAAAACCACTGCGAAGGGACTAATTTGCCAAGTTTCTCTTGAAGAGTCATTGTTACAGCAGCCTGCGTGAGTATGAGAACAGGTCATACATCCTTCTCTCTAAATTTTTATTATTGTACCTCTTTTTAAATAGATTTCCAGAGAGGTGCAGGGACTCGTAACTATGACACATAATAAATCCAACAGGCATAAAAGCGTGGAATGATAATCAGAATCCAAATTCCTCAACTACACTGACAAACAGATTTTGCAGGCTTCATAAACCCAAGCTGAATCTTAGAAAACTGTGAAGTTACGGTTTTCATCTGGCAGCACTTGGCACGCATTTTTGAAAGTACTGAGTGTGCTCACTCTCAAATCTCCGCCAAAGTGCTGCGTTAGAGCCTTCTCTTGGAAGATACCTGCTTGACTCTGCTTCTGAAGCGTTCCGCCTTCAGCCGTATTTTCTGCAGTCTGACAAACATTATCTTCATCTTTTGGTACTGCTGTCTGTTCTAAGAGGTGTTGCTGTTTGCGCTGTTCTCTTTCTTTCAGAATAATCTAAAGAGACATATATAAAAACCCAAAATCAAGTCAGCGTCACATAGATGATGATGAAGTTTCTGTTACCGAGCGTTTACATACAGGCCATTCATAAACAAGCTTGGTACTGTCTTTCAAGGTTTATGTGCAAATTAAAAACAAGCAGATGTTGTAAAAAGAAGGAATGCTATTCCATAAATCTGCAAAGAAAACGACTTTTTCCTTAATTACCAGTGACTGGGTGGAGAAAGTAATTACTGGGGATTGACTACAAGTGCAGAACTGAAGTGAAAGCAACGAGTTGCTTCAGTGCAGAGAAGCGGGTAAAAGTCTATCTACTTTTCTTCTTCAGGGTGTCACTTCGCAACAATTCAGCCAAACACTCGGGTACACACACACGCACACACGTAACACACACATAGGCAGCGTTACTCCTCCCCCTTACTTCCCTGTTAAAAGTCTCCAGTCAGTCTCACACATCGCTGCCTCTGAATGTGCTGGTTGAAGAAAGAGAAGAAGTCACCATGGATAGGTAAGCTGTAGGGTACAGGGAAGGAAGGAAAGTAGGACATACACGGGATCCAAACGTGCTACTGTAGGTGAAAGCAATAACCAGTTTCCTGAAACTCACCTTCCTCCTCTGCTTTCACAGCTGCTAAGAATGAAGCAGTTGCTGTACGTACGACCACTAGCTCAGCTCACCTACCCAAAATTAATTAGACCACAGAATCTCATTGCAAAAGTAAATTTCTCCGTTTGCATTTGTCAAAGATGAACACAGAACTAAAGTAAGCTCCCTGCCACACTCAGAACACAGACGCTACACAGGCAAAGCAATCTCTGTCTTCTCAAACCTACTTCGGAAAATAGATGGCGTGAAGACAGAACAGCCAGAAGACACAGTAATTATCACCCCCGACAGTTCATTACATGTTATCTGTTGTTCATACTGTAGAGTTCTCAAATTCAATTAAGCAGCACAGAATGACCACTAAACTATCTCCCCTAGCTCTGTAAGACTTGTTTGAGACCAAAAAGTGACGTGCGATGGAGTGGTATCCCAAAATCCTCTCTACGGAAGACATGACTGGAACCGAAACCACAGCCCCATAGGAGCTACCTCCAAAAAATTAACTCTGTCCCAGCCAAAACTAGCACAGACATGAATGGGCAAAGGAGGAAGATACAAGAGAAATCGCCAGGTGGCTCTAACATGAGTTGCTGCAGCAATCAGCTGAAGTTCTGGCTTGGAAGAGCAGAGAAATGTTAAATACTACTCCCCTTGACTGATCCATTCTCCCCAGCCCTGCAAATAAGCATCTCTTGTCCACACCAAGTAAGGTTTCTTTGGATGTCCTCCTGTACCAGTGCTGTGTGGACACTTTTGCAGTGCCACCTCTTCATGCATCATGTGATTTCAATGAGAAAATGTATTTGGAGGGAATTTGTATTCACTACTTAGCAAGACTCCCCTCTTCTCCCCTGCCCTCCCCCTCGCCTCTTCTTGATCCAAGGAAAGCTAAGATTGAAATTAAGACAGGTGGACACTGAGGTGCAGATCTCCATACCAGAGGGCTCAACAGACCTGCAGAACAACACTGAAGTTACATTAGCCTGTATCGTACTATTTAAGAAAAAACAGGAGCACCTTTTTAAGAGGTGTTGGTCTCTTTGCTTTAGGGACTTCTCTTTGTTTCCCTTTCTTTACCAAAGGAGCGCTGGAATCCAAAGGGTTATGAGGCATCTTTTCTTGGTTTAACCGGTGACTTTTTGTGGCTGTAGCAGGTTCTTTAGAAAGCAAGGGTATGGCACCACCAACTGAGACAGAAAAAAAGTCTGCATCAGACTACGGTAGCAACTACCTAAACTAGAATCCAATGCAAGTTTAATGACTGGGTCACGACTAGTACGCACGTAGTAACTCAGCACCGTGTGGCTACTGAGAATATTTACAGGCAATCCTGTGTCACTAAGTGATGCTATTTAACAAAGATACTCCTCCCAAAAGACCGACGTGTCCTCTACTTTTATTACACAACCAGAACCACAGGCTCTGTCCCCGAGCTCTCAAAAGCAGAATTTGGCAAAACACTGCAGCCCAAGCTACCTGCAACACCGTGCCACGCCGGCTTGGAATGTCCACGTTTCAGTGGTAACGGCATTTCCTCCCCCACAGATTCTGTACTGCATTAAGACAAATACTTGCAGTATTTCAGATTTTAGGTTTAGTTTCTGTAAATAAGCTGGAGCACTTACTCCTACTATCTGTTACACATTCATGAAGTTGCATGAAGTTCATTTGCAGATGGGTAATGAGTAAGGCAAAGCCACAGCTACGTCTCTTCTGCTTAACCAGCACAGCTCTCAGGAAAACGTCTACTTTACTTGCATTTTTCAGAAGGTTCAGTCAGCCACCGAACCGGGACCTTCCAAACCACAACCTCACACCTTAAATAAAAACTACTCTCCCTTTTCACCTCGCCAGCAGCAGGCATGGCTGTCTCCTGTGAGAGCACTTTGTCAGTTACCTGCCAGACAAGCCAGGTTACATTAACAAGTCAGTGAAGAGGATGACATAAGCGTCAGTGGAATGAGCCTTGGTGTCTTGGGCAACCCCTCTCCCTTAAAAAACACCCAAAGCTTCTGGCAGCTTGCCTTAAGCCACCTTCATTCACCGCTCCCACCGTCCGTGCATGCTGATCCTCCAACACCACACGCAGTACTACCAGAGTGACCGGTTTACTTCATGCAACTGCCACACCGCCACTTTTGTCTTTCTGACTCGGCGTCACACGGGCGGACTGAGGACGCTGCCACCAGCGCTGTGCCGTACTGTAGTAGCGCAGGTGGCACCAAGAATTGAAGCAATACGCAAACCTGATTATTTCCTTCACTGTGAACACCATCTCTTCATTTCAAATTCACAGAACTCTCAGGTTCCTGAACTCGCTGGCTTTAACAGGTTTTTGCGATTTTTGCACAATTGCACTTCCAAACTTAATTTAGATTTCAGATAATTACTGCTTCACTGTGCTGTTCCATCCATACGCTATTTACCAAATCAAGTAATAAGTGGAATAAAACACCTCTGCAGTCATATTCCTCACCCTTCGCTTTCACTGAGCTTCCCTTCTGGTTACAGAGGTCAGCTTCACAAACTAACGCTACGCTCCGGTACACACCAGTTTAATGGCTGCCCTGAATGTTGGGAAAAAAAGTCCGAAGCTGAGGTAACGCCTGCCTTACACTTCCAGGACGCGAACATGACGTGTCAACGTCCCTTCTGCAGCAGGTTCAGACGCAGGCAATTTGATACTAGAAAACAGGTCCTGTGACCCATACCTTTGTGCTCCATCCTCAACAATCCATGCCCTGTATCATTTTACTGAAACGAAACTAGGTATTAGCACCTCTGCAATACTGAGCCTGACTCAAATGACAAAAAGAGATCGATTGCAAAAAAAAAGAGAATTGCAAAAAGCATCTTCCAAGTTCTCTCAGTTAACTGAAGGAAAAATCTCACTGGTATTTTGAGCTTTCTATTTAAAAGCTCAGCTTTTACATTAAACATTGTGAGGTGAATTCTCCCGTGATTATCTCTTTTTCTGAAGTATTTTTTTTAAAAGAATTAGTTACTGATATAAGCAGATAAAAATTCAACAGCATTAAATTCCAGCAAACACCATGCTTCTTTTTGCAATATATACCGCACTAACATAGCCGAGACTAAATCCTGACCTACAGTGAAACAGACACTCAGCTATTTGTTTCTTCCTCCTGGTTACAGCTCTAGGATTTCCAGCATCAGAAGGAGCTTAAGGAAGCCTTTGCTACCGCGTACTGTACCGTGTGCTGTAGCAGGTTCAGAGCACAACGATAACACTTGTATTTAGGACAAAACAAAAACCTCCATAAACATCAGTGTTTTTGTCAAAGCTAAATGTGAACCACCTCTCATTTACATGAGGTATTCTTTTACACAGCCTTGCTCTGAAAAGCTTTCTTCCCCCACGTCTTCCTCCACACCATTCAGACTGCCACGCTTTTAAAACCTGTCTTTGAAAGAACCTTCATTTTCTCTTGTGTCTCGTGAACTGCGCTCCTGCCCACGCACTCAGAGATCACTGCAGACCAGAAATCAGGCTGCATTTAACGTCTGAACATTTAAACAGGACTCAAGGAAAGAAAATTTCATTGTAACCAATACCAGAAAACACCACAGGTTTAGAAGACTGTTTTGACTTCTCTGTTTGCTGCTTCTGCTCCAAGACTGCCAGCATGCCACCAAAATCCAATTGCACGGGAATTTGACTCTTCTTACCGCTGCTCCTGGCTGTTTCCTGAAAAAGTTCAGTACCAATTAGTAATGCTCTCCACTTCAGAACGTAAAGACTGTATGTTGTAGGGTGTGTAATACACTCTTTAACATCTTCACCCACGATACTTTCAATTTGTAACTTGATCTAGTGAAAGTATTTGCATCTTTAAATACAGATCAACTTTAATGTGAAAAATTAAAAAAATGAGAAACAGTTCAAATAACTTCTGACTAGCTACAGGAATAAAGGATAAACATATAAAGTCTTCAATACAGGAGGTGCTTTATGTCAGGCTCCCGCTTTGGTCAGACTGCCACCTATCTCTGAAAAAGGAGAAAGGCTTACCAGAACTGAAAGTTTTGTTGAAAGTATAGAAAAACTACCGTGTGAATCTTCCAGGGCATGTGACTGCAACACACATGGATCATTATCTTCAAAGCCTTATTAAACAGGGAGGTGGTCGTCTTTAAGCACCACCTCCTCACAAGCAGTTACCTTTCCATCTGCTTTGAAGGGCAGGCAAAAGCCGTGTCCCTGCACTTGGCACCACATTTAATGATCCTGAACATGAAAAGATTACAGATGAAAAGTCTCACAAAGGCTGCAAAAGGGCTAACAACTACGGCAGAAGATGCTAAGCAATCGACTTGCAGATTTGGTACTTTCAGAAGTCTTATCCTGGAGGATCAATTCATTCCAGCTCCTGTTACAACAGGGTTAAGGCATGTGACCTCCTCCTCCTGCACTTAGGATCTCCCACTCCATCAAAGTTATGCCAGAACCCACTCACACCAACATGGAACTACTTACTGACCTCACTGTTGCTCCGTATTTCTCCTCCTTGCCCCAGGCTAAGTGGATCTCCTCGCCTCCTTAAGCTGGCAAAACCACTTTTAAGAGGTTCCCAGCTCCTTAAGAGAACCAGTTTGGCCTGGATATATGCCATGATCACATAAGACAGGGGACAGGAAAATGCCCGATACCTGAAACCTGCAGACATTA